GTCGGCATTCCATGCCAAAGCACCTGGCAGCACAGGATGACACCAAACGGAAGATGATTCACTGACCATGAATGAGAGATGTTGCTAAACAACAGTGTGAAAATGAATGAAGGTTGTAATCTTTCACTCCTGCAATCGTCTCCCCAGCCTCTCAACTCACCTACTCTGGCTGTGTGTCCCTCTAGTACGGAGAGCTTCTTCCCTGCTGCCGCATCCCAGATCTGTACATAGCCCTTATGAGTCCCCACAGCCACCAGGTTACCCTAAAAATGGAAAGCACACTTTGAATATCAATGATTCCAAACCGCATTTAGAAAAAAATAAAGAACAGGAGCATGCACACCAAAACTCCATTTGCATATTTATTAAGATGATTTCAATACTATAAGCACTATTATAAAAGTCCTTTTGGATGATGGATCTTCATCAGATCAGCTATTCTGTACTTAATCAGTAAAAATATGAATGGAGTTTGGTAAGCAGGCTGTACTACAACCTTATTTGAAGTTGGTGTTTTTCTAATGTAACCTGACCACAATTTGAAAATAGAACAGAGGGCAGAGAAACCCACCCTCTCTGACCAGCCCACTGATGTTACAGAATCCCCTTCTACAGAAAGGTCACATAGACGTGTCACCTAAAAAGATGGAGGGGAAAGAAAAACAGATCAACAGTGACAGCTCCAATGTGATTAGAACCATTATTTGAGAGATATAAATACTTATATAGTCTAAGATCTTTTCTTTTAAACTGCAGCGAAGCCCTCTGTTGGTTGCCTCTTTGTCTCGCTGCTTTGCTCAATGCACTCAACGAACAGATAACACATACCTGGCTGGTGCAGGCACTCCACAGGTAGACACAGGTGCCCAAGCCAACACTGAGCACATTCAGAGAGGACCAGTCCACTAGGTTGAGGTAGAAGTCATCCTGAAGCTCTGGAGCATCCAGAACTTTGAAGGGAATTTTTGATATTTTGCGTGTAGGTTTCCTTGGCGACCGTAACAGTTTCTGGCTGCGATGCACAACACAATTTCGGTAAGGAATGGAATGCTGCTTTCTCCTAAATGGAGGAGATAAAATTTGAGGAATGACAAGTATAAAATATTACCTGTTGCTACTGACAGGTGACAGAGAATATGGAGAGACTGTGTTTCCATCCTCTTCTGGCAGAGCCCTCTTCGCACTTACAGAATACTACACACACAACAAAAATAGATGATTGGTGATGCAGGAAAAACTCCCATGAAACGAATATATCAAAAGCCACAGCCATATTAACTGTTTTTACACTAAAAAGGCTCCTCTTGGCAGGAGTGGACTGCTGCAGACGGCGGTCCTCTGACTGGGGGTCCTGGACTTTCTCTATGCCCGCTCCTAGCAGCTCGTTCTTCAGCAGAGCTGAGTAAGCCAGACCATCCGCTAAAGGCAGAAGAAGAGACAGCGGGGAAATCAAACCAGGCTGTCGTAATTCTGAAGTTCCAACACTTTGCTCCCTCTGCAATTTCTTAGGTCTGTCTCACATCTCTAAAGATCAGGGAGAATTTTTCACTAATCTTTGTTTAGTCCTTATCTCCAGTTTCCATGAACCTGCCCGGGCTTAGTAAACAAGAGATGGTCAAATGATCCAGTTTGACCAGAGCAGACCGATGCCTGTGAATTTCTTTCATGATTATGAGGCACTTTAACTAGAGCCCGACCAATCATCACAGATGTATGGATACTGAGGAAGAGGTTGGCCAATAAGTAACAAAAAACTGATACAGAAATGCTTCTCAACTGTGAGGATTTCCTGCTTTTGTTTGTAACATGACAGTAAAATGAATATCTTTGGGCAGTTTGCCAACTAAAAGGAGCAATTTGAATACATCAAATTGGGCTGTGGGACATTGTATCGGCATTTATCACTATTTTCTGACATTTTATAGAAAAAACAATAAATCAGTTAATTTAAAAAAAATTGTTAGTTGCAGTCCTAAACATAACTACCTTGTTTGCATGTTGCTAAATGTAAATCTTAATGTACATATTACAAGAAACTGTAACACAATATTTTGTTATTTGTCCAGTCTATTGGTATGAAGGTGGATTGTTTACCTTTGTTGCTGTCTGTTGTACCATCTTTGGTTTTCCTGTTTTGATTGTGTGACTTTTCAATTTCCTATGTCAGACAATCAAATAAATGATCACTCTCAACCACACATTTACACTTGCTGTGTATTTACAGACAAAAGAAAAATGTTAACAGATAATATGTTTCCTTATAAGCCATAGTCAACACTGATCTTGACAACACTTTCATAGGAAAGACAGCAAAGTCCTCAGTGTATTGTAGCAGACTCACATTGATGCGGTGGAAGTTGACACTCCAGTTGGCTCCAGCCCGGGAGGGAATAAAGCGATCACCATGCTTGCTAGGGGAGGACAGGGGGGAGCTGGTGGGTGTCAGAGCTCGCACCGCTTCTACAGCTTTCTACACAAGAGAAGAGAGGAGAAAGATGGCACTTTTGTTTTTAGGTGTTAACAACAGGAGGCTACATTCACAAAACCCAGTCATTTGGCCGGTAAAGTCTTTTTATCACTCAACACCAAATGAAAGGCTGGCCTGTTAAACCATTTCTTCTTCCAACACATGGAGAATATTAACCTCTCTGCCTAATGTAAGTCCTCTGATAGTTAACAATCCTCTTTGGGAGGGGCTATCATCATGCTATTATGGTCAAGATAATGACCTAATCATAATAATCATACTAGTCAAGGCTGTAAGCCTTGGCTAGATGAGGCAATTTATATTCATTATTTTACAACCTATTAGTTCAAGAGAAAATACATCTCTTACAAGAACAGAAACATAATAAAATGTGTGTATTATTTACTTACTATGGGGCTTGCATTCTCATTTTGAATGTTGATCTGCCTGAGCAGCCTGCACTCATAGTCCTGATCCATGATGCCTGAAAACAAGATTAGACTGGTTAACACAACTGTAAAATTGTGACATGAAAAAACTGTCAGATGACAGGTTAGTAACAGACATTGGTACTCTCATAGGTATGACTTTCTGACTGCTGGTTATTTTGTCTCTTTGTATTTCTTTGTATTTTGACTTACCAGTAACGTGTCTAACTTACATACATACATCGATATGATTACAAGGACAAACCAAACAATTGTTAAACTCTAGAGCCTTAGTTTACATCCATCTCAAACTAGCTAACAAGAGGTTCGTCACAATGACAATGACATAAGGCTAGTTACAGTAGACACGAACAGCTGCGGGTAGGCTGTGTCCTGCTGACAACAACACTTAACTTATCTTTGTTAACTAGCAGCACATCAAACCATGTAAAAACATTTTAACTGCAGGTATCTGCTTGCTGGTTCTAAGAAACAAATACTCCATTGTGGCGGTTATCGCTGATCTGTAATCGTAACACCAAAATTATTTTAAAGACCAAATGATTAACGTTAGTACATTCGCCAAACAAAGCTATGCTAATGCTAACGCTAGTTCAGCTGGCTGACCTACAGTGAGATAGACTAGCTGTCCGGCTAATGCATTAGCAACATTGTTTGTTCAAAGTCTACACTTGTATTAACACCTACCGTGCCCTGATAAACTCTTCCCCTTGAGTGCCGTTGAAATATTTTTCTCAGCGGTGTCTATTCCGATTGAAATGTCTTGTTTTGTGCGTTTTACTCTTTAAAACAGAGCGTGTAAAATTATAAATGTTTTCTTTTGCCGAACGTTCAATTTGGGTTCGCTAAGCACCACGGGAAGGATGTGACGTCGCTGCTTTTGAATCACACATTTTGCGTTGCTAAGGAAACGTTTCAGTCGGCTTCACACGTCTTTGGTATACTGTAGATAAATCACGAATTAATCAAAAAATATAGCTAATTACCAGTCATCAGTTATAAAATATATTTCCAAATGTCTTTATGTGTGTCATTTGCTTGCAATTACATTATTATATAAAACTTACTTACAAATTATTCAACTGAAGTCTTACAACGCTTACAATTTCCTTGTGTATTAATGTCTATACAGTCTGTAGATGATGAATTTACTCTCTTTTAGCAAATTTCTTCCTGCCTCTTGCTCATGTTGAGTGTGAATGAAATGTAATCTGCATTCAATGAGTACAATACATTTGAAATAAAACCTGGATTTTAACATTTTTCAATTACCTAGTCAGGTAAGACTCCTGAATTCCAGAGTGAACAAAAGACATAAAATGAAATAATAAACTCTATTTGATATCATATATCATACATACAATTTATCTCTATTATAACTAATGCTCAATTTCACTGCTCATGCCTAAACACCAGTGTTAGCTAACAATTAAATATGACATTTTATAGTGATGAAATGCCAAGCCAACATTGAAAATGACAGGGTGGACTATCAGCTAGCTAAAGTCAGATAGCTAATTTTAAGTAAAAGAAATGCTAATAACTTCATAAAGTTTAATAAGCAAGCTAGATAGCTAACTACTGGCATTAATCTACATTTTCTTTTGTGATGCACTGAACTGGAGTAGCTGCGAGTAATGCAGGCAGACAAGACGTTCAACACTCTTGATGCATGAATATGGGAAAGAAATTATAATATTAGTGTTACAGTAAGAAAGACCCCCCTGAACTGTTGTTTTTACCTCTTTTCGGGATCCAAGTCTTAAGTAAGGGGGTCAGATCCCTCAATTTGAACCATGTTTGCTTGTATTTATTAATTTTTTGGTGTCAGTGTTGATAAATGTAATGTTTCAACCAGACAACTGAACTGGCACAAATGGATCTGTACATTAACATGTGCCTTGAGAGATAAAGCCCATGTTTTTCATGGATAACACAGTGGAGGGCAGCATGTGGCTTGATATTGTTGAAGGTGACTGTAATATTTTTAATCCATGTTGTTATTACTGGACTGACCATGATTAATACACACATTTTGGTGTTAACACAATTCATTGTAGTTGACACACTGCCTTCATTTACAGTATATTTCAAATGGCTTTATTAGTAAAAAAAAAAAAAGACAGAGAGAGATACCAGTGAAACAAATATAATGTAACGAGGTAAAAACAGACTAAACACATGTGCAAAAAGTTTAACATAAAGACACATTCACTGACAACTCCTGACTGTTTACAGGTAGACTCCTGACTGAAAGAACAATGTGCAGGATACAGCAATGCCATGATGAAGGAAATGTGATTGAGAGAAATATTAGACCACAACATACACTGACAAATAAGTTGGTGTGCTATTTATTAGGTTATGTCAAGAGCCTGGTATCCCAACATGGTCCAAAAGCTTATCTAAAGGTATCTGATTCAAAGTGCCACATAAAAAAGGTACAGTAGGTTCAAGTAAATTCTAATAATAATAAAAAACACCCAGTTATGTGCAAAAGTATATTTTTTAAAAACTAAGTAGTCTAAATGGGCTAGATGATAAATACATACTGGGATCACTAAAATCTATTTTGCATAAGCAAAAATAGAATAAAATGAGTGGCTCAACTCAGCAGACCAAAGGCCCAATACAGTTCAAATTGGGACAGTAAATCCTGCCAAATGTGTTCTAAATAGGGCAGGATATCTAATAATCATAAGCTTCTTCAAACAGTGTCCATTTACTTGATTAACATCAGTTTACACCAAATGTTCATATGCCCTGGATTGATTCTTGTTAAACACAGTCATGCTCATATTGCTAATAGTCCTGAAAGAACGGCACAGACTTCAGCGCAAGTGCTCTCAAAATATCATTGTCTAAAAAGGTATGTCCAGTACAAAACATAGAATTAAATATGTTTTACACAGACAACCAATTAACCAAGGCAAAGTCTGAAAAAGAATACAGAAAATGGCATGTAAAAGCCGCTAAACTGAATATATGTTGCATTTTCACCTGTAGTGATTGACAACTACATAAAAGAAATAATCAGTCACTGTGCATGGCCTCAGATACCCTGCTATGCCACACATTCAGAGTGAAGATCTAAAAAAGCGTGTGTGCTGATCAGTGAATTTTGGAATGGCAAAATAAAGCACATCTGGACACAGGACGCTAGTCTACAGGGAGGCGGTATCTCGAGGCATAAGTTGCAGGCCATTGCTGACCTGGAAGCGGGTTTCATCTGATATACCATACTGCTCCAACGGGTCCTGCGGAGAAAGCAGACAGTGAGTAAAGATGTAAGAAACAAAAACGTGTACAGAGCAAAATCAAACTTTATATATCAAATGGTTAGTTCACCGAAACCACACAAACAAATACAAAACATATTTTACCTCTAGGGAAGTCTAGTCATACAGATTGCTTGGGTTATATTTGGTGAGGTTTTAAGATCTTGAGACTTCTATCTCCACCCAAACACAATGTGGGTGAGTGGAATTCAACTGGTCCTTCTCATAGCATTGGAAAAATTACATTTGATAACCTCAACAACCATATTTCTTCACAGACTTTGCATTGAACAGTTGGGAACTATTTCCGAGGTCTGTGGATCATCCTGAATATCCAGGTATCTCGGTTGTTTTGGGGGTGGTTGCTCTCAAGATTAAAACCTTGCAGAATAAAATCTAAACTACCGAATTGTCCTCTATTGATCTATCCAGCTATCTTCTGCTGATATTGATTATATACTGCGCACTTCAGTTGGTCCAGCATGGCACACATACATTTCACACTGAAATACTTCCTACTAAGTTCAAGATAAGCACCATCTTTGTGGCATTTAGTGTGCCAACATGCTGCTGTGAAGGGTCTCACCTTGCCAGTGAGCCTGTGGATTTCAGTTCGATAGAATATCAGGTTCTTCCTCATGAACTCGTAACTGCAAAAGATGACATGAGTAATAACCCCAGTGTTCAAACAATGTAAAAAAGTACAAAAAAAGAAAAATTAAAGAAAAAGTACAGTAAACACTAGGGCTGCAACTAGGCTTTTAACATATTCATGATCAACCATTTCAAATTTCAGTACACAACTTGTTTCAATTCAGTACATCCTATAAACCAAGTCATTGCAGCTTTATTAGACTACTGGCTTACTACTACTACTGTCTTAAAACAGAACAACTTTGCATATGTGGGGAAAAAAGTGCATGTTCCACCCAGAAAGCACCCAGGAAGCTTTGGCTATGTGTTGGTTGTTGACTGTTGAATCATGTCAGCCAGATCAGCCCAATACATATACAGTAGGTACAGCAGCATCATCAGAATAATAAAACACAAAGTCGGCGCTTTAAGACCATCCCCTATCACCCTGTTTGGGAGCATTATGTTTTTCTCAGTAAACTTTAACACAGGAAAAGGTCATGTAGTGATGCATCAGTTGACACTGTGTCTCTGCAAACAGCTACATTATTCATTTGTTTCCCTTATGCGAGTCTATTACTGGAGGCTAAAACACACTGAGTAGAGGTTGTTCAGATAGCATCTCAATGCACATTAAGACCTGCAACAGCCACAACCAGCGCCAGAGCAAAATATAGCACTGCAAGAATGTAACCGTATTCAGTCGTAGAGAACACAGTAGTCTTGCCATAATGTTCAATCATATGACCATAGTTTTGTATCTAAGTTAACAATGCACACATACTGGCCTTTGTTTGGAATTATTTTAGATTACTTAATGACGCTATGCAATATGTATGAATGTTTAACAGCAAATCTTATGCCCCACTGCTTAGTAGGGTTGTGCATGTAATCAAATTCTATTTTCAATTACGATTTTGGCCTTCAAGAATTATGAAAACAACGTAATCGAGGTAAAATGATCACTGTGCCGCATTCCATTGCAATGATGCTCTCCTTTATAGCTGTGGCTCCCACCTCTCCATAAAAGCCCAAACTCACTAATCGAGCCTTTAGACAGGCTGTGGCAAGTTTAGTTCAGCTCGAGCCGAAATGAGGCACGGGGGAGTTATAACTGTTAAAACTTGTTAGGCAACATTATTTGCTTTAGACTACAGCATTTTACACTGCATAAATTAGCCTAGCGGACTTTTCTTATACACATAGCTTAAAAAGTACATTTATACTTTTCTCTTTGTTACCTGCTAAGCCCACACACATACACAGCAAAAGCAACCCCCCCATCCCCAGCCATCCAGGCAAAATACTGTGTTGCTGTCATCCTCTTGTATCAACTGTATTGTGTTATCATATGGAAGCATTCAGCTTGTAATGATACCAAATTGAGAACTTTTATTTTCTTTAACTTGATAAGAGACAAAAAATGACTCATTAGCAAAACTGTAATCAATTAATTTTCTATCAAATTGACAGTCAAATGATAGATAGAAAAGAGTCAGCTCTACCTGGCCTTGATAATGGCATCCACCCACTCTCCACACTGCTCTTCAGAGTCACACTCAAACTGATACTTCCTCTCTGCTTCATCCAGAAATGCTACAAAGAGAAATGTTAATTATGTGAAACCTGGTCAGCAGTGTCGGTGGGTTATGTAAAATGGGAAAAGCAACTGAAAGCAACTGTGAGGATCCTGTGCCGGTTAATTTCTGGTTAAGAACATGGTTGTTAAAAACAGTAAAAGCAGTAGTATACATGTACATATACTCTATACTTGTTTTCTCAACAGCATCTACTCAGCAGCAGCAAAAAGAAAGTTTAGTGCTGACATGTATATTAATCATCCATTGCTTTAATTGGTTACTGAAAGATCTACAGGTGTTTGATGTGAATTGGAATACTACCTCTGGCGTAATAGTGCAATCTCCTCTTATAGACTCCCTAGTGACAAGATTAAGTTTTTTGTTTGATAAATTATTTGAGGCCATAAAATAATAGAAATGTTGTGCATGGGAAAATGATGTCTACCACAGTTGCAGCAAAGCCATAAAATAAAAAAAGCCCCAGAAATGCTACAAAGAGAAACGCATGTACTGTAAGCCCCGCTCACATCAACAGACTTAAATAATGTGAAACCAGTCAGCAGTGTGGGTTGATAATGTCAATGTGAAAGTGGGAAATGCAACTGTGAGGATCCTGCAGCTCACCAATAGAGAAGGTATGGCTGTCCTCCCTCTCCACCCGGCACTGCTCCAGCAGCAAAGCTCCAATTGGCTGACAAATAAAAATAATGACTTAATTTTTATTCAGCGTGCTGCTTTCCTTTCCAAGAAATGTCATCGTTTTATCATGAGGTATAGGTAGGGCAATGATTACATGAGCGAAGAACAAATGATGTGAGAATAGGTGCAGTAATAACCATGTGTTGGAATATTGATTTAACTGACCTCCTCCTCATCAGTCCGGAAATAAAAGAGGAAATTAACGACGAGTTTCACCAGCCTCTTCTTCACAACTGTTTGATAACAAACAAGAACTAAGATGAAACTTCACAGACAGACAGACAGTCCTGTTGTCACCACAGCTGATGGGTGACATGAGCAATCTCTGATGACTGCTGATCTTAACATTAACTGCTGCTGCCCACACTAACGTTACATGAAACGGAAGTAGGTGTGTAATAGACTGCGTTACCGTCTCCTTTCTTGGGTCCTCGCATCCCCAGCTCAGCTGCCTTCTCTGAGGGCTGGCGGCTCAGAGACACCAGCTCCTTCTCGTTGAAACGCATGGCAGGTCACTGACGCAGTAAAACACTGGTTAAAAGCTGAAAGCAGTCACAGGGAGACTTTCGCTACGGTTGAGCCATTCCCACGACCGTGAACATAATAATGGAGTGAGATAATACTTATAAGTAGCCTACTAAGTATACCGCGGACTAAACGTAGCCGCCTCGCTATCTGAGGCTCTCGAAAAGTGGCGGAGTGTGTGTGGTCATTTCAGCGGTCAAGCAAACACAGCGGTGTCGAACTTCTCCTTCATGCTCACACCGGACACACACTCACCTTACGTCTCTGCTGGCAATGACGCTCCTCTTCACTGGTACTAGTACGGTTGCCGGTGAGGGTCAAACTACGCGAATAGCGCCTTTCACGATGTAACCCACTGGTGTAGGAAGTGGTGTCCTTTACAATAGTCAAAGTATTGTAAAAATACTCTGTTACAAGTGAAAGTGCATTGATATTTTTTATATATATAACCAGGAAATATAGCCCTTGTGACTGCTGTACTATATTATATATTAAATCATTGGATTATCATTACTCATACGTTACAGTGTGAGCAACAGGCTGTAGTTGGTTACCGTGGAGCTAATTTAACTATTTCGTATTAGACTGCAACTAATGATAATTTTCATTATGGATCAATCTGCTGATTATTTTCTCAATTAATCGATTGTTTGATTGATTGTTTGTTTCACAATGTTTATTTTGTCCAACCAATGATCTAACTAAAATTATTGTAAATGAATTAAAATGATTAAAAAGAGATTAAAGAGAAAAGAATTCTCACAAAGTAAAAAGTAGTATTCCCTCTGAAATGTAATGGAGTATAAGCAGAAACTGGCATTAAAGAAAAATACTCAAGTAAGGCATAAGTAGGTACCACAAATTTGTAGGCTACTTAAGTACAATTCTAGAGTAAATGTCAGAATCATAACCACCCTTATTATCCAAGTAAGCTTACATATACAAGGAATTTGCTTTGGCGTTTTGGTGCTTAACAATAAACATAAAATTATAAGAGCGATAAAGGCAGATCAAGTAAATAAAAAAAATGACAATAATATATGAAAAGATAAAAGAATAAGAAGAAAGGATATGTATGATATGGCTGCTGTTTAAATTACAGTTAGTTCAGCGATGTGCAAAATATTTATGTACTATATGTATTTTATACCACCACTTATGCAGCATGTTGTAGTGACATATAATGTGCTGTACTGTCCAAAACCACACAAGCGTTAAAGTATCTTGAAATTATATGGTACTTACAAATCCGAGAATACGGTATTCAAAAAACATTGCAGAGAATGGTAGCCCACAGGAGAGTATTGTCAATTGTTATTCATAGTTATAATTAACATACGTTTTTAACATAAAATCACTAGACATGGTGGATGTAGAGCAGTTGGAATTTACTGTAGATTCTCAATTGTGAATACAAACAATATTCTTTACAAGAAAGAAACATAATAGTTAATATATTTGTTTATTTTATTTGAGAGAAGGGACAGTGCAAATTAATAAAACAAAAACACGTTAAAAGAAAAAGAGAATTAGCCAAGAGGCTATTTTTCTTCCGTGTAGTCCATAGGTGTAGTCCCTGGCTAAGGTGTTACAAAGGCTTTGTGACGGTCCAATCAATCACCAACACGTAAAGTGGTGGTAATGGTTTTGATTTCTACAAATAACCACAAACACATTTTATTTAGATATTTATTCTTTTCACAAATGATAATACAATTTCCAATCTGAGTGCAGCATTTTGGTTGATATTAATTTGATTAGAATTGTTTAGTAATTTATACCTGTCCAATTGTTTCCCCACATACTGCTGCTGCTGAGTCATCTGCCTAAGGTGAGCTGGAGTTTGAAACTGCTTTTTATACTGCTCCACAGGAAGTGGAAGGAACCAACTCCTGGCAGTGGGCAGGGGGACTCTGAACTACAAAATCCTTAACAACACAGCAGCATGTTTATTTTGGGTCTTTTTAACTGTAGTAAGTTAAGTTTTATCCCCTTTGTGTCATTCAGTAGGTCGGATTTGTTATGTTAAGAGTTATGTTGTACTATTGTTATGTTGACCTGGGTTTACTTAAAGACCCACTTTAATTATGTTGATACTTTGTTGTCTAATATAGTTTAAGTACTTTTAAAAAAAACTTTTAATTGATTTAGTTGGCCGAATAAAGCCTATAATTTTCTAAACCTCCACCTTGTGTCCCTGCCTTTACTGCTTGGTCCCTGACAGGCTTCCTAAATACATCAAAGCAAAACCAATACAGGGCAAGCTGTTTAAAAATTGGAAAAGGACACTCTTTTTCAAACAGTAAAAGCAACAGTATATATGTTTATATAATATATACTTGTTTACTATACAAACAAGCACAACATATAGCCTAGAGCAGCAGCAAAAAGAGAGTTTAGTGCTGACATGTGTAGGATAAATCATCCATTGTTTAAATTGGTGTCTGAAAGATCAATAGGTGTTTGTCTGATGTGAACTGGAATTATACCTCTGACAAACCAGGCTCACTGACTAAAGGCAATGTAATTCTGCAATCTCCTCTTATAGACTCCCTTGTGACAAGATTATGTTTTTTGTTTTGTATAAATTTGTTGAGGCCATGAGATAATAAAAATGATGTGCATAGGGAAATAATGTCTACAATATTAGCAGCGAAGCCAAACGGCCTTCTGTGGCTTTATTCTGCCATTTTCCTTTAGATTTATTTTGAAAAGCTGTTAGAGGGTTTTGTCTCATTGATAAAGAAAATCATTTAACCTTTAAGACAAGGGGGAGTGCAAAACTGTTGGCCATGTTATTGGGAAAACCAGTCGGGCCCTCGCTCCAATCCAGGAGGAGGCGGTAATGCGCCGGATGCGGAAGAAAGAGCCACCTGAGCATGCGCACTACAAATATACGTTGGCATGATCCAAACGTTGAGGAGTTGGTGAGTGTTTTGAACAAAGAGAACTGTTTATAATATATTGGCATGTGTGGTTATCGTTTTATCATGTAATTAATCAATATATTACTACATAAATAGAGCTAGTTAGGTTTTATGTGTTGTTTGATCACTCATATTTGTTAGAATCCATACTAGCTGGTAACAAACACCGTTAGCTTAGCATTAGCTAGCGTTACGTTAAGCTAACATACTGCAGCTAGCTGGACTATGCAGAGATCACTCAGTATAATAAATTTGTATTGTAGTGTGATAAAATTTAACTGATAACTGTGGTGAATTATCTCAGTTAATCAATATATAGTTGGCTAAATAGCTGTGTTGTTGCCCGTTTGCTTTATTTCCCAGAAGTTAGTAAAGAGGGGTCTGAAGAGTCATGTATTGTTTGTAAAGCACATGAAATCCAACTCAGACAATTTACAGAAATGCAGATGTCACTCTACATGAATTAAAGAAAACTTAAAAAAGGCTTAAAAGGAGTACACTGTTTCGAGTTCTTGTGAAACAGTTAGTTACGGAAAAGTGACAAACTCGTTCCGGATGTAACTTAACGGTAGTTGTCTTTAACATGTCTTTGGAAATTAAGGGGGCACTTACTGTAGTTAATCATCTCCTCAAACTGTATACACCATCAATACAGCAAATACAGTTTGGTATTAAATTATAGTCAGAAGAGGTAACGTAACTCGACACGTGGTATTGTGTTGTACTGCAATCCAGGAATATATACCCTAACCCCTACGGTCATTTATTCAATTTATTCAATTATTTACATCCTTGGCAACAGTGTGTGCGTTGTTTTCCCCCCCTCAGATAATCAGGAAGGGATCTGCTTTTAGTACCGGTCCACTGTTGACTGGGTAAAACAAGTGCGAGTGTCTGCGTGATTGGGCCCATCACTTTGCAAAGATGGATTTCCAACATCGAGCTGGAGGCAAGACGGGGAGTGGTGGAGTGGCATCTGCCTCTGAGAGTAACCGTGATAGGCGAGAACGGTTACGTCAGTTGGCCCTAGAGACCATTGACATCAACAAAGACCCTTACTTTATGAAGAATCATTTAGGATCATACGAGTGCAAACTTTGCTTGACACTTCACAACAATGAGGTGAGGATGCACTTGAAATCGAGTCTATCAATCTTAGATTATATGAACTATTTATTGTTATCTAAGTATCTGGTTTGAAAGGAAAAATTACAAACTGCTCTCATCTGCGTTACAGGGCAGCTACTTGGCTCACACACAAGGAAAGAAACATCAGACCAACTTGTAAGTCCACATCATGTCTTTAGCATGTCACACATGGAAATTCTGCTGTTGCACATTGGCTCCTAGGTTTTGGTTTAGTTAAACTGGTGTTTTGAGTTATAAAGTGATAATTAGAGTTAAATGAGTTAAGCTGACCTGCAGGTATGCAACAACCCTCTGTGTCCCGTGTGTTAATTAACATTTCAAAACAATATATAACTATATATTTTGTTTGTTTCAGAGCACGGAGAGCAGCCAAGGAGGCAAAAGAAGCTCCCGCTCAGCCAGCTCCAGCGAAAGTGAAAGTTGAAGTCAAGAAGTTTGTCAAAATTGGTCGACCAGGATACAAAGGTAAGCTCGCTGTGTGTTATTTATAAGTGCAGGCATGATTTAGTTTATGCTGATAAGAGGTTTCACTGCAAATGCGTTGTGTATTAATGTTTGGTCCATGTATTTCTCTTCTTTATAGTAACCAAACAGAGGGACCCAGAGACCGGACAGCAGTCCTTACTTTTCCAGGTTAGTGTGACTGGTGGGATTCCCTGTGGATGATCTGTTTAGATTTGAGAGGAATTTGTCGTTCTGGGAACATCAAAAAACTAAGCAAATTAACATTAATGCCCCACTTAAGGGGATGTGCTATAAAGTTATCCAGTTTGCTCAAATTAGTATTTTGAAAGCAGTCTTGGACCTTCTCCAGCTTTTTGATCATCAAATGCTGGCAATAATAAGAAACAATGTAAGAAACTGAGTTTTGCTTTCTCAAACAACTGTCTAATAACAGCCAGTACTCACTGTTTATTGGCATCTCTTCTTTATGGAGGAACTTGCAAGCATGTGATTTACAGCAGGGCAGATATTGTTGGCTTTTTATCCTACACAGTCTGTGTGCGGTTGGGTCACATACCTGCGATTTTGCCCATGTTAATGTGACAAATTTGGTCCTGCTAGTTAAATGTAGAAAGCAGCTGTATACTGAAATTGTCACCGATACCTTCAACCTATAAAATTTATTACCGCATCAGTGACAACTAAGTATTATTATTATTATTTTTTTTTTAGCTGTTGAGGTTACTGATTTTCAAAGACAAATCTATAAACTACCTGTTTTTCTTTTCATCAGATTGACTACCCAGAGATCGCCGAAGGAATCGGACCCAGGCATCGTTTCATGTCTGCTTATGAACAGCGCATCGAGCCCCCTGATCGTCGCTGGCAGTACCTGCTTTTGGCTGCTGAACCATATGAAACTATTGCATTTAAGGTGACTAGGAGTTGCATTTCTGTTGTGCTCTTAAGCCTGATTTAAACTTCTGCATTGAGTCTACACCATAGCCTACAGCGAAAGGTACGCACGTAGTCCGTATTTATAATTGTGGGTTGGTGTCTGCGTCATTCTGCAATAACACGGCCAAAACATTAGTTGGTAGTAGCTTTATAGAGTCCATGACTTCCAGTTTAGCCCTATGCTAACTTGAATGGGGGTAAAATGATAATCCTGCAGCTCTTCTAGAATTTTCAAATGCTAACGAATGGATCACATTTCGTTAGTGAAACGAGTCATTTTGTGGGGGTTGTGATGCTCAAAAAAATGTATCCACCGTCTCAGACGTTTGATTGGCTTCAAAGCACTGAGCACCTTCAGTGGGCTTGGAGGAAATGCAATGCTACCAAGCTGACCAATCACAGTTCTTGCAGTCCGCGTCTTCTAGTTACATTTTTAGGGAGATGCACGTCTGGCTATGGTGTAGATTCGATGCAGAAATATAAATCAGGCTTTATACTGTTTTTCTTCTTTCAATGTCATAACATCAACCTCTTTGGTCTTTTAGGTCCCCAGTAGAGAAATTGATAAAGCAGAAAACCGATTCTGGACCCACTGGAACAGAGAAACTAAACAGGTACTAATAAGCTGATTATCAATTGTTACAACAAAGCCAACCTAGGTATGTCAGGAAGTATGTGGTTTAACCTTTCATGTTTTTCCCCCCCTCCCAGTTCTTCCTACAGTTCCACTTCAAAATGGAGAAATCTGTTTCCCAGTCCAGCGGTCCAGCACCACCTGCAGGTGTGAAGCGCCCCCCTCCTCTCATGAGTGGAGGTGGACCTCGTCCACCAAATGATAGTATGCCCCCTCCCCCGCCAGGAGGGATGCACGTCCCTCCTCTCCCACCTGGTGCCCCGGGTGCCCCCCATATGCCCCCTCAGATGCCCATGCCCCCCATGCCAATGAGGCCGCCTCCTCCTGAAGGCCTTACAATATCTAATAATTGATCCCCCTACCATTGTATCATGATTGATTTCTTTCATGGTATGCTGTCACACTGCCCTGCATAGTACATCTCCCTTTTAATATTGCAGCTACATTCAGTTTGATTATTTCAACACTTTATGTCAACATTTAGTGGAGTTTTATACATTTGTTTGGTTTATGTAAATGTGTAGGGCAGCCCATATGACTACACTGTTTTGTATAAATGCTTAGATTCTGGATATGAAGCTATGATTGAAAATAGCTCATCTTTTAAGATGCTGTTTTTGTAATAAAAGTCTGTGGAGAAAAACATTTGTGTCTGGAAGACATCATACAAAGATTTATTGATGTGTCTTGTGCTTGTGTGAATGGGTGAAAGTAGAAAAAAAACAAACACTGTAGAAGTTGCTGATCAGGATAAAAACTTTATTGGGGAGAAGACCCTTTAACGTTTCTCTCTGAAGCAGCCCATGTGACATAACATGGGTCATGTTATTGATAAGCCCCAATCTCGATGATTAGTTCGCCTTCCTAACTAGATACTATTGACAGTTAACTGAGCTAGCAAGATTGATTATTAACAGTTTATTAAGGATGATGTAGATCTTTCAACACTAAAGGGAATCAAATCATCATATGGAGATTTAAAATCAAGCAGTTGGCACAATAAATTCAATGAAAAAGGAGGTCCGTAAACACATCACATCTGTAGCAAAGCAAAAAAAAACCTGACATTGATGGTGTGTGGCCATTTTAACTGGAAGCACACTATATTTGAATTCAATATCGCCACCTTTCAATGTTGAAATCAATCAATTCAGGTGAAAGTTGTTTAGAAATTGAATTTCTGTCTGCCACAATAGAAATAATCAACTCATCCCTTTTGTCTTTTTCTTCTCTTTATGTTCCTCCAGCTTTCTATCCTTCTTGTGCACTGCCTCCTCATGTCTTCCATCCTCATCAACATCTGCCATGTCGTCTGGCTCCTCTGTTTGATCTCTGTCTGTCTTGTCTTTGATTTCTTCATCCTTTGCTTTCTTGGTTCTCCTGTCCTTTAATTTCCATTCTCTTTGCTTCATGAGATTTTTGTCAGGTAGTGGCTTGTTTCTAATACCTCTTGGTGCTCGTGCTGTTGCCTTTCTCTTTGACTTTCCTCTTTTGACTTCATCAACATCATTAACATCTTCCTCCTCATCCTCTTCATCATCAAGATCTGGCAGCCACCAAAACATGACTTCCCATAGAGTTGTCTCAGGCTAGAGGGGGGAGAGCACATGAAGTAGATGACACAGTACAAACTGGTACATGTACAAGTGTCCCTTGTTAGTGTCTTTACCTCTGGTGGTTGTCTTCTGTGTCGTAATGTGCCCGGTCGTCTCACTGTTAGTCCAACTTCTTCTTCCTCTGCTATCCCCTGACCGCGCAGAGTTTCTGTTTAAAAAAAAAAAAAAAAGATCACTCAGCCTCAGCAGGCATGACATTTTTTATCTGTGGTCCTACTTATTTACTTGCTAGTTTACTTGCCATGAAGCCTCTGAAAACCTGACGTAAGCACCAGGATGGTAATTGCCACAAACAGACAGCGGTTGAGGGTGACATTCTCCCACGGGGTTTCTATCTGGGTCAGGTTTTGGATGGACAAGGCTCTATTCAAGGGTGCTGAAGGAAATACAAAAAAGTGGAGGGGAACTTTTATTAAAATTCGGAACTGTAAGTAAACATTAAACACTGACAAGGGTCGAGGAGCAAGATGGGAATGACTCACTTGTTCTGGGGAAGCTGGGTTCCCTGGGTAAAGCCCTGGGTTCTGCTCTGGGTTGCTGTGGAACTGGAGCCATTTCCTATTGGAGAACAACGAGAACAACATGTAGCTTAGCATCCAAGGAAGGTTAAAATGAAGGGCAACTGGACGTGGGACTGGAGAAGCCTCTTTGATGAGAGGCGAAATGTCTTCGAGTATCTTCAACCAGGTCCTGTTGCCCTTGATTTTAACCTTCCTGAACTAACTATGACCTGGATGACTGAGAACCTTCACAGACATGTAGCTTAGAAGAAACGATATATTAGGGATGTGAACACTGAAAAAATAATCCTGTTGGTTGTTTTCCAACTAACCTCTCTGACTTTCCTTGTAGCGAGCATTTCTGAAACAGACAGATGGAGATTTACTGAGCAGTGACATCATAAAACATAAACAACAAACAAAAGACCAAATAACCATTGCCTCAATCTGGAATTTATTTATCCACATTCATTTTATGTACAGTCACACATTCATATTGGCCAACATATGCTTCCTTTGATTAACCTATGATATACACAAAATACAGGTCTACTGTAACAAAGTTAATATTACAGACAGACATAACAGATTAACAAAGAGTCTACAGCCAAGGTAGTGTCTCTGTGAGGCTGTGCATTGAGCTAAATGCTAATATCACCCTACTAACATACTCAGAATGACAATGCTAACCAATATGTTCATCATCTTACTTTTTGTGCATTATCATGCTAACATTGGTAATTAGCACTAACCAAAGACGAGCTGAGGCTGATGGAAATTTCTATAGCTTTGCAGGTATTTTGTCATAAATGTAAGTATTGAACAATTAAAGTATTGGTCAAATTTAAAATTTTGACCTGATGATGGCGCTAGAGGAAAGATCATGGGATCATCAAAGTTTTTGCAACTCATTCTGAGGGGAACATGAAGTCTTAACCAAATGTAATGGTAATCCATCCAGTAGTTGTTGAGACCCAGAACCACTAATGCCAGCCTAATGGTGGCAACAGATGAAAGTCAGGTGATCATCAAAGTCTAGATTGGCCATGATGCTTTCAGTCTGGACCAAAGTGCTGGTAAATTATAAACACATTCTCCCACGTGGTCTTTTTAGACCTTTAAGAGGACTTTGGACAGAGTGAGACTCACCATCCATTCAGCACGGCTGAGGTGCATTATCAATGTGTTGCCTTTGACCAGGAGTCAGATTTCAGTGGCTCCCTGTGCTGCTGCTCCCAAGTATTTATAGAGTAGTACAATATATGTAGAATGGATGAAGGCTTTTATGTGCAGGCATTACAGATTGTGTGTGTGTGTGTGTGTGTGTGTGTTTGTGTATGTTACCACCTGGTCTGCGTATCTGTCGAACAGGCTTCTGTGGAGGAGGATCTGCTCTTGGTGACCCTAACTCCTCCTCAAATGTCTCATAGCTTTCTTCCATCCCTTCCCTGAGAGAGACAGAGGGAAGAAGATGGAAATGGCTCAAAACTGAATTTGCTTTAAACGTTATTTAGCAGATTTAGACGTGTTATTTTATACAAAGCTTTGGTTATGAACCTGGCTGTTGTCAGAGGCCTATGGATTGTTGGTATTTTTAGAAATGCTTTTCCTGCCAGCTGTTACCATACAAAAACAAGATGATTCAATGGATCACAATGTCATTGCAGTTGTTCTTATCAGTATGTTTCACCGGCACGAAATGATACCAGTAAAAGGTTAAACTCTACTTAATGAATACAACTGAAGCCATTTCCTGACCTTCACATTTACAGATGAATGCTGTGAGGTCCTTATGTCTTACATGACATTTCTACACAGACATTGAGCTAATGCCCTAGCAGCCCTATAAATAGATAAAGCAATCCTGCTGGAGAGACAGATGGATACAGACTGCATATAAATACACAAAAAAAAAGGGCTGATGTTACCATTATACTGCTGGCTAGCCTCTCCTGTGATGAAGCCTAACCTTTGACCCTGATGAAATAAGGACCTACCTGCCTCGACATTTGGGGTCCCCCGGGCAGCGTCGTGGGAACCTTTGTCAATGAGCCTGTTGTTCTTCTGCTGAGATGGCAGCAGAGTCATGCTCTGAACTGTCTGACAGCCAAGCACAGGTGCCGGAGAATAAAAAAAACAAAAAGAATTGAGTGTCAGTCAGAGGCGTTGACTCAGGCAGGGTTGACATTAACATGCTCCATACAGCTGTCAAATTCCATGAAAGGGCTGTGAGGGGAAGAAGGAGGCCATAGGTTAGATCAAGTTGGAAAAATGTAATCTTATTTGGTGTCACAGGAGTTTCAATTAATCAATCCCACAGATTTAGTGCTACTAGGGCAACACCCCTTTATTATATCTATTATCATATGGACACTCTTTCGAATTTCACCAGCAGAGAGCGCCACTGTTCTTGTAAACTGGAGTTTCAGGCTGCTCTGCTCTACAAATACACAGATTAACAAAAGAGCTCACACATTTCCTTTTAAGGAGCTGACCGTCAGCCCTCTATATCAAACACTTAGGACACATATGACTGTTTTGTTGCTTGTTTTTTTTTTTATCAAATCATATTGTTTATGTTGCCATAGTGCATCTTTCTTTAGCAATCTTGGCTACTGAATGAAGCAAGTTTATACTGTGTGTGTGTGTGTGTGTGTGTGTGTGTGTGTGTGTGTGTGTGTGTGTGTGTTACGAAGCTGTCGGGCAAATTCATCTCTTTACATGATATGGAGGCCGCTAACAAGAAGCAGTGTAAACAGATGTAAAGATGATTGGGTTATATCAGGGTGAGGTGGTTGCAGGCCACCTTTCTGTGGGAGGGGAGAGGAAGTGTTAGTAAACAGACTTGTGGCGATGTTGGTGACTCATACCGTTGCTGGGACTCTGCCCAATTCCAGCTGACTCACACATTGCTACAGCCATCAGTAATCACTTTGAATTGGACATAAGCTCTGGAACCTTTGCTGTGGGCAGACTGACCAAGAGAAGTCTGGGGTCTCAAATGGTACCCAGAGCTACATCACATGTCATAATGTACAGGAACCGACAGACAATCTTACCCTTATCAAGGGAGGAGGCTGATGCAGCTTATATACAGTCCGTCAGTCAGTTATGTGACTTTTAAACCACCTACTGTTACAGTATGCAAGGCATTATCATCTCCTTAGAACAATTTTTATCCATGCCAGTGGCTCTACAGTGTTGGCTCATCTACCACTTTGGTCCAGACTGAAAAGTCTGAAGTTTGCTTCAAACATTTATGTTACACTCAAGATGATTCAAACAACTGGTGATCCTTTCATTTTTCATCTCACGCCATCATTAGGTCAAAATTTCAATTTGTCCAATATGACCACTGTTTAGTGGTTAGTGTTTAGCTTTAAGTAGCTAACATTAGCTTGCTCACATAATAACCTAAAATGGTGAACATGGTAAACACTATACCTGTAAAATATTAGCATGTTAGCATCATCACTGTGAGTCTGTTAGCATTTAGCTCAAATCACAGCTGTGCATAAGTAGGCTACAGCCTCATAGAGCTGCTAGCATGGCTGTAAACTTTTGTTTACATGCAAACTCATGTCACAAAGTATTACCCTTAATGGATAAAGAATTTCAAATAAATTACCATTCAAACATAACATTACAACTAAATACTCTTTGCAAAAAAAAAATAGCAAATTTGGCACTCTTTCACTGTCAAATCTCTTTCTTAAGACATTTTCCAAAACACAGAGCATTCATATCCCTATCTTCCTGTAATATTTATGAATAACCATAACTAATTACTGTATAACTAACTAAAAAAGTCATTCTGCAGTTGACCTCAATACGTTCCTCTGAACATAAATTCCTGTTGTTCTCAAAGAATACAAATTTTTTGGGAACAAATATAATCCAGTGGACACAAAAATGGCATCAAGTCTAATTAGAGTTAAGTACCGTACACAAGTACCCTCTATCAAAATCAAAGCCAACCTGTACCAGATATTAAACCTTTTATTCCATTTGTTTGAAATGCAAGTGTACGCATAATGCACGTGTGTGTATATGACTTGCTGCAGGATCTCATATTCCAGTATACAGAACACACACTGAACATTATAGTGGCATCATGTGTTCATTCAGTTCTATTCTTGCTTATAATGAGCTTGTCTGCAGACTTAATTGACCAAATGCACAATCTCACCCCACTGATTTGTCAGTGCTTATTAGTCCCAAGGATACAGCTTCACTATTAGTTAGAGTGCATCATCTGTGCCAACAGTTCTGATTGAAAGCACTTTTGAATTAGATAAATTAATTCTTACAAGTCAAGTCTTCCAATATCATACTGAGCCCACAGAATGACAGATTTCCCTTTTTAAGGTCAGTATGTAATCTAAGCTCCTTCTATTTTACATCTCAGTATATGTCGAGGTAAAAAGTGAACTGGCAAAGTTTGGGTCAAAGTCTTTAAGAATGTTTCAAGGGCAACACAAGCCCCCTGTGGACACATTGTGCCCAATAAGGTAAGCAAACATTGCTCGCGGACATCTACGTTCCAAATTGAGGCACTGGAGGGATCCAAGCTGGTTTTGTCCCCTTTTGTCCTTACATAATGGGGACTGTGCTCAGAGGACACACTGAGCGTCCAGCACCCAGTGGGAGCTGCTGTACGCCCTCCCTCGCTGAGGAGTATGGTGGAGCGTGAAACAACATTAACTGTGTAGTCTGTCCAGGACTCACAGGCTTAAATGACTTACGGGGACTTGAATTAATATTGGATCAAATGATTGTGTTTTGATTTTAAAGGAAGAGGTGATGTGTCCAGACTATCTGTAGACATGAGTCTTTAACCTGTGTCAGACTAAAGGCTCCAGTATGCTTCATTTGGAAATGCTATACACACTTTTACTTTAGACGTGTTCAGATGATCTATAGTCTACTATATAATCCAAAGTAAACTGAACATAGTTCTTGAACCATTTGGAGTAAATGCATGGTTTTGGGCTTCTCTGAAAGATAACACTCTGGAGTGTCTCAAACAAAAGTCAGAATTATTGTAAGTGTTACTGGAATTGATTAATATAAGTTTAAACAACTAATAATTAAACTAATATAATTTTTGGTTCTACTTGAAAATGTTTTCTAACAAATGCATGCAGACAACTATAGCTTGATTATTAGCTGGAGGGGTCACAGCATAAAGTCCAAGTTTAAATATTATACCAATGCCACCAATGAAAAATGACTATTTTACACAGGTTCGTCTTAACGTAACCGCCCTTTGGCTGCAAGAGGCTGCTGCTGCATCGATACGTATTAGCTGGTAGCTTGACGCAGAATTTTTTTTGCTGGTAGATCATGAACTTCCTACTTAAAGCTGGATAACTTTATTTTCAGAATTACACTGGCTACACGAAGTGCTGGTCAACGGCACAATTGGTTGGAATTGGCCTACCCACGAAATAAAAGGGGCTGGTCCTTCCTTACAGGGCGGGCTCTCGTTGGCTATTATATGCTGTGAAAGGGACATGTGAGCTCCTATTGGGTCGAATTTGGTGTCACTCGAAAGGTCAGAGTTCAGCGGCTAATTTGAATACAAGCTATGGTAGTTGTTTACATTCAAATCAGAGTTATTATGGTTACAATGACATACGAGCCACGTCTGCAGGCAAATATGAAACAATGCTGCAGCAGTCCCTGGGGATTTATTGATAGAATAATGTGTTTTGGACTAAATGTTTTTACTGGATTGCATCGTCTGGAGCACATAGAATTTTCTCTTTTGTCATGCAGATGGCTGTGTTTACATGCAAGCTTAGTAGCTGTTATGGTTTTATTCATATCTCTTTAACTTTTCTCATCCATGTTGGCTTTAAATTTAAGCATGAAAAGTCATTCTTGACCTTGGATTAAAATATTTCAATCTGAAAGCATCACAACTTTGTAGGCTTTTGAAACATTGGCCTTGATTTGTGATTTTTTCGTCAAAGTATTAACAAAGAATTTGAAAGAAAGCTGTGTCATTTTAATGGTCAGGATTCAGAGATTTGCATCGTGACTTTCACTCTGCAAATACATTGGACTTGTCCTGAAGAATTTGAGATATTACACTTGTACTGACAAACAAAGACTTGGACTCAGAGATTAACTTTGAAGGGACTAGAACTGGGTCAGCATGGTGGATAAATGGTAGAGATGGAGAGAAGGCTGCTAAGCTGCCTAACAGAAGTAGGCAAAACAAGCAGCTGTCACCCTGAGAGTAAGTCAGTGGGACTGAACTAGCAACCCTCATTTACCGGACAGCCACACAGGACAAATTTCTCTGTCTGTTAAACATCCTCCTTCTCAGATGTGCTGACAGTGTAAAACCTGTATTTGAAGAGGAATGACACTGGATCAACAAGGATTCAGTCATGTGTTTCAGTGCTGCTTGCCTTTCACTTTGAATTTCAAACCAAAGCCTTCATGTTCTCTTGGAGCCACTGTGGGACTTGTGTGTTTCTCTGTATCTCTTCAGGCAGCTCGCCCAGCCTTTGATCTTCGCAGAACACAACATGCAATGGACCAGATCATGAGTGTGAGTCCTTTTGGGTTCACGGGGGAGTGCTCTGCTGTAAATCCGGACCATGCCCTCAGGCAGATAAATGTTGAAATGTCCAAACAATGTGATAATCTGTCCCTCATTTTCCCCATCACGGGATGGGGAAAGCAGAGGTGTAACGTCTAGAGAGATTCGTCTGAGAAAGGAGCTGGAGTGATATGCTGACCCAGAGGACTGCTAGGACATGCTAGCGAGTGACTCTGGCACAGAGAATGGGGATGATCTGAGAAGAAGATTAGCAGAAAAAGATTTTTCATCATGTGCAGGCTAAATGCCTTTCACCCCATTGATCTTTTTCTCCAAATAGCCTTATTTCATCATTATGGGATGTGGATGAGTGAAGTGAAAAGCAAAGAAGAGTAATTTTTTAGAGACACTAGATTTCTTAAAAGGCAAGTGAAATCCAGTTGGTAATGTTTGATCGGGAACATTAAGTTAAACGTCTAAACATCTCCCTGTTGCAGAGCCCATTGTCTATTTTTTTATGTAACTTTAATGCCAAGGTGTTATGACACTGATCTTTTTCGTTTT